TTATCCAGATAATACTCGGATGTAATGATCCCATATAGAAAGACCATAATGAGATGTCAATAACAATAACAATAACATTCATTCTTAAACTGTGTATGTCTTGTAGCACAACATTCAGGGGAAAATGTAGTTCTTATTTAAGATAGCTGTGGCACCTCAACGTGGCTGATGTAACCTTCATATGTTTTCATATTCATGTTATTATTTAAATGTATGCCTTATACTTGTATGAAGGATGATATGAGATCAAGCCTGTACATAAAGTAAATGATCAGTATTTAATATAAAGTACCAATAAGAATTATATTTAGGATTATCAAATGGAAGATTTAAGAAGTGTAGATAGAGTCATATATTAAGTATATAGCCTCGATCACGACAATGCTACGCCATTATTCAACTGCGTTTCATCACGGATAGTCGAAGGACTAAAGGCGTCCATAATGTTTGTTAATAAATATTTCATATTGGTAGATGACATGATTAGTTCAGGGTTGTAATAAAAAAATTCTTATCAAAGCATGTAAACCAGACAGGTGGTCCAAAGAAAAGGAATCACAGTTGCGCTTTCGGAAAATCTTTCACCATGTACCAATAAATATAAAAATTTATTTTCAGTTCTTTCGGACTTATAGTGGTAGTAAAAAGTGAAAAAGAATAAAAACAAATTTCACGAAGTGGAAATTGGCTTATTTTATACTCTCTGGGCAAATATTTCTCCGAAAATTACACCCTCGAGATTGCACCCTTTTGCCCCGCACAGCTCATTTTGTACAGCAAATAAAGCGTTTGACATGAGATCATAGATATATCATGTCGTATATTGTAAAGCTCTGTTTTACTGTAAATATATGACAGTTAGCTTGAAATAGCCGGTGATAAATTCGGTTGCGTATAGTTTTTTATACATTACATGAGCTATATGGCGTCAATTATTGGTCGATTGCTTTGCTATCGAACGGTTCATAATAGAAATAAATGTTTATTATTAGTCTCTAGGAATGATATTAGAGCCTCAATTATTAGATAGATCTATAATATTGGTTTGGATGGGAAGTTTAAATGAAGAATATTGGACGGATTACGAGGAAAAACCGATTTATTTGTATAAAAAAAAATAGAAAAATTAGCAACAGTAGAATATACACATACCCTGCGTTTATAAAAATATAGATCACTCATTTGAATTACCATGCATTCATTTGTATTGCTGTAATTATTGCGTATCCGTTGATTTTAAGCATATATTCCTTGATTTAAAGTGTCCGTCCATTGATATTGTCAGTCATACCTCTAAAATATCCCACTTACAAACACCCTACGTGAATCCATTAACGCATCACTTATTATTAAAAGTTATGTCTGAATACCCATACCATTGAACCAAAAATCATACATTTAAATCAAGTCTGTCAAGATTGGCCATATGTCAAAGAGGGCCTTGCAGCCAGACATTGCATTGATCCAACCATCATCAATCTTCCTCGTGATCCAAGTTCGTATCAATCCATCCACTTTTATATACAAACGTACCAGATGCGATAATAAGAAACAGGGTGGCCATAAAAATTGCAATCGGGTCCGTGACAAAATATGATCCACATAGCTGCACTAAAAAAAGTATCAAAGAGGAGCTATTGTTTAGGATTAGTTTCAGCTTGGTTTGTGTTACAAATATTGAAGCATTACCTCGAAATATACTGTTTTCTGGACAGATAGGGTCAGTAAATAAAAAAAGAAAACAAAAGCCCCCGTTACAATATTATACCTATGAAAAATAATGATGAAAAAAGCAAGTGTATTTGAGGTGGGTCAAAAAGCGGATACAACTTCTTTGCCTACAAGGTAATTGGGTTAAAGCATAGATAAAACTGAGTCATGTGAAATGTACCATAATTTGTGAGCCATGGCAAAAAAAAAGGTTTGAGGAGAGAATAGAAACCTGGCTTATGGTCATTTGAATTAGTTTTGCATACGGACAAATAATAGAGTATTAACAAACTATTATGCTTGAAAATTAGAAGGCAGGTTTTTAAGGAGAGCGGTAAGGAATACTACTGATTCGAATGGGGGAGTAAAGATTACGAGAAGTTAACATGGCTTGTATAAACGTGCTTATATTTGTTACCTTTGTCGGTCGGCACAATGAACTAAGCAAGTTGGTATTATTTTTGAAGTTAAGGAAAGGAAAAAAGAAAAAAGAAAAAAGAAAATGTCGAAAACTAAGAACATCAAATAATCATTATGATAGAAATAGAAATGATGACTATAGAAGATGAAAAAAACGGTGAGAAATAAGATACATAAAAATTAAGAGTGCCTTTATAGCAATCACATCCTGAATGAGAAAAGTGATGTAGCATACATCAAGTGTTCGATTTACTTATATACCCGAATTTTTGAGTGGTTTTTAAAAGTATAGGGTTGCTTTGCTTTTAATTTGTAGGCAGAGGAAAGGGGCGCGTTTATTATTAATTTTTTTTTATCTTTGCATAGTAAATTAGAATTGGAAGGAATGTTTGCAAAATCTATACGAGAGAGAAATCAGTGACTGAAGCTGGTTAATTCTTCGAGCTCAGTTTCGGTCAGAGTATATTGCGGTCGTTTAAGTTTATGAACGTTAGAAAGCAGAGTGTCAAAATCTGTTGAAGGATTGCTTAGAGTGGTGAGAGGAGCTTGTTCAGTTAGAGTAAGAAGAGCTGAGCTATCTGACGAGTTCTGGGGAATGGTTGAGAAAGTGGGGTCGAAAGAAACTATTCAATTTAAGGTTAGTAAAAAAAAATTCAAGCCGTAAAGAATTTGATAGTATTTATGTTTACCTTCAAATACAGACAACCAAGACATATCACATTTTAACAAATACATGTGATTTCATGCGATATTGTTACAGCAAAAGTCAGGGCAGCTTTAATTAATCATTTGAAGATCGTCCACCACAACATCATAGCTTACACTAGAAATCGAGAAAGAAGAAACAACTTAAACATTCTACCAGCAGAATCATTTCTCGCAGTTTTGATGCTATTCAGTGTTCTTTACTACATTACAAGAGTATTTAATTCGGCTTAAGATATCAGGTCATTTTTTTTTAATATAGAATACCTCTTTATATATCCATAAAATAAGACACTTCAAAAAAAAACAAGAGGGGGACAGGCTACTGATTTTTGATGGGTAAAGCAGCCACGGAGCTTCTAAACCGGTTTTTGAAGCTGATGACTACATTTATTCCCGCGTTAGATCAAACGCCATCTAATTTTTAGGTCTTTTGGATGAGCCTTTGGTCCCCAAATAAACTTAAATATCCAATAAAAACTTTACATGTGCCAATTACTCTCTGCCAATCTCTCACTTAATCTGTAAGATATTTCGATTTTCAGTCAAATTCACAGTCTCATGTTTACTTTATCCTACAATTATATGATACCATTGGTAAGAACCGGGAAGCTTAAGACAGAGAGTTTTTTTCTTCTTCTACAAACGAAGACTAAATATAACCTAAAACTTAAAACCTAAAATTGATCATGATAATAATACATCCACAAACAACTCTTTTAGAGACGTGTAAAACATACACATCAAATTAAACTCATAAACCTGGTTCCCACCATCATAAGGTAGAGAAATTATTATTCTCAACTTGTCGTCAAAACCCCATAATATACAAAAATGACGTCTCTAACAACATTTGATTTGATATATTATTACTTTTCAACTTATAAAAGGGCTTTTTGACTTTTTCTTTCTTTATTCCTTTGTTCGCCAAAAGAAAGGAAAAAAGAACTTTTGTACTGCCCAATTTTTTCCTCTTGAAAGGTTTTTTTTAATGGAGGCAAAAGTTTTTACTGATGGCGGGGTTGGTGCCAATATAACATTTATCTATCGGAGGAAGAAGGCAGTCTAGAATTTGGTTTCCGTTACAGACAGTGTCTTACACTGCTACAGGTATGATAATTTTATATACGTTCTATCCAGTCTATTCGCAAAAAGTCAGTCTTGCAATTTATTTTATCATTTTAAAGTATTACTTCATGATGTATAGCCTATTGGAGCTGTTCCCCCAGTGTCCAGTGGGTATTATCTGATTAATTGGTAAGTGATATAGCTTTTTTCTCTATCATATCTTTTTATGTTCATACTAACGCAAAATTTGTACTACGGTTAGCTCAACACGATGCAAATTACAAGGAAACTTAGATATGTTTCTATAGCCGCGGTTTTAACACTGTTCGGTACCATCTCTTTACCAAGTAAAGTCATTCCGCATGAAAAAGCCAAAGGAAAACTTTGACGTCATTCTTTTCTTATTCGGGTATTTGAGGAGATGCCAAGTGTTTCAAAAAGCAAGGTCACATCATATTTTGGCATTTAAAATCTATCATCATCCCCGGAAATAAAAGCCTGTATTTTAAATCTATCATAATTTATGAGTAAAAAGATTAATCCCCAAGAGAAACCCGACAACCTTAATGAAACTTCTTTTAGCGAGCCTGTCGTAAAAAAAGAATTCGGATATGAGCATGATTTCGATGCTATCAACGCCAAGGTTGAAAGTTTGTCTGCTTGCGTTGCGGATTTGCAGCGTCAACTGCGCGAAGCCCCCACAGCCGCAGTCGGACGATGTCCTAAGCCCAACAGAGGCAAGCAAATCGAGCTCGGTGTAAGATAAATTAAAATATTTCTGTCTAAATAATTATTAACAAATATTATAGCGCTTGGTCCATGCTGCGTACGTACGCTGTGTTGAGGAAGACGAAATAACGTTCAATTTAAGCGGATCAATGGTAAAGGACAACAGCCATGTTCGTGACAAGATTATTGAGTACTGCAAAGAATCATCGTACTTTGATAGATACCTCCTTAAATGTAAGACCGGTTTTACTTCTAGGGGTAAATCAATTGTTGAAGGAGTGATTTTATCATTCTTCAACAACATGAAGGCTAAGATAAGAAGTGATCGAGACCCCCTTGCAGTCCGTCAAGAAAGGATGAAAGGCAAGAAGGTAAAGGAGAGAAGATCGAGAGTAAGTGATACTTATAATATAAATAATATAAAAAAATTTGCTAAAGAGTACCTTTTTCTTATTAGAAACTCTCTCGTAGATTGGCCATGTTCAAGCGCCATCCCGAATCAGCACCTTCTGTTGCAGCACAAGGTGATTGTGACAAGGTTCTGGTAGGTGAGTGCCAGTCGGATGAAGAGGATGGATCCAATGATGATGGTTCGTTGGATTGTTTGGTACCAGCTTGGAGATCTGAGACTGTAGGTACAATTAGTATGACAATTCTCAAACATTACTAATATTTGTGATACCTTCCTTTTCAGTTGAATAATTTTTTTCAAAATCTTGACAATCTCCATGACAAAGTAGCAACAAGAAAGTGGGGTCAAAAACCCAGAAATAATTCTGTAGTTGACAAGGCATTGCCTCCTGATCTTGAGAGAGATCTTCCTACTTGGTCCAAAGCTGTATAAAAAACAATTAAAAATGCAATTAAAAAAATAAATCGGCTTTACTATTCTATGAAAGGTAAAGAAGATATTGCTATTACTCAAAACATCAAAGTACATACCAATGAGGAGTAAATGTTTGCGATGGGAAGGATACAAAGTTCAGACTCGTCTTTAAAAGTGATTTGACAAACTCCACTGTTACTCGAATTGAGCGTGGTGATCAACGTTTGGTGGGGCTTGTAAAAACAAACACAAGCAAAGGTGAAAGTAACGGCCAGAAAAACTTCGACTTCGACATGAAGAAGTATGTCATGTCTGAAGAAGAACTTGATCTGAGCAGGCCTCAATTGAAGAGACATACGAGCAACGTTGTGGCTGTAATATGTTCTTATAAAAATACCTCTGCCTGACACAGTTTTATTTGAGTTGTAATAGTGACCCATGATTGAATTTGGCTTACCCTGCTTTCGGGTTGGAGCACCATCAACAAACAATTATGAAACTCCTCGGATATCGAGCGTTAATAATTAACCAAGTGACCGAATTGGGCATAGAACATGACCATAAGTTTCACATGGACTTGTTGTGTCATTGTATGCTAGGAACTCAAAATTATCGAAAGTGGATATGACTGTAAGATCACCGCTTTTAACAAAGGGAGTAGTATCTTGTTCATCTATCTTGAAGCTCTTGAAAACATCACCATCATACACGTCATATTAATGGTCATCGTCTTTAAATTTCTTGATTTCCAAGCTTAACGGAATCGGTAAAATTATCGCGCTTATAGAACTTTCGCAACGTTTCCATGGGATTGAATTTTACATGTACATCGCACTGGGTAGATACTTTTTAGCTTTCGTGACAATGTACATAGGTTTGCCTCATATTCGAGAAACATTACCCAGTAGATCGGAAGGGTAGCATATTTACAGGTGAAATTAGCTTGACGGTGAAGATCGTCATGCTCAATTGAAAAAAGGTAGTAGCACTTTAAACAATCAACGTATTGTTTGGCACCGCGGAAAAAAAAAGCCATTCACATCAGATTTTTTTTGGATCTAGATCTTTTTCTTGGAAATTAATGGGTCCTCTCCATCAATTACGGTGCGACATTTAAAAAACCCATGATAATTTTACTGGCATTTTCAGTAAGATGGGAATTTAAAAAGAGCATCATAAGATAGAACATAAACGTGAGAGGTTCTGAAGGAAAAAACCGTAAACATAAAGTATCATCAGAAGCAGAGCCAGAAGTTTTACCAGGAGTATTATTAGACGTATCACCAGAAGTGTCTTCACCTTCATTGGTACTATTCTCGGACACAGTGTCGCTTACATATTCGGATTTCAGTACGATATCTTTTTTTTTTGTTTGTTAAATAATTTTAGTATATTGGTGGGTATAAAAAACTGTATATATTGACATGGCCTACTTTCGTCATAATGCTCATCAAAAACATTTATTCCATGGGAACCATCTATTAAGATGTCACCTTCAGCATCGACATAAGTGGATACCAAATTACGGTTCATAGTATAAACTAAAAGGCAAAAACAAAAACGAAACAAAAAAAGGGACAGTACATGTGTACGTTATAATCTTTACGTATCTACAATATATGTTTTGTATTATTCCGTTTAACAACAGATATTTTTTACATCGTTCTTCACAAACACGTTTATCAGTGTTCTCATAATGTCGGCTGATAGTTGACTGGTTGGCCATAACGTATTACAGAAGTATGGCCGTTTTTGAGGGGCCAAGTATAGTGCTTACGAAAAAAATAGATAAGATGTGTAAATGTGTAAAATAGAGTTAAAAATTTGAACATCTTAAAATATAATTTTTATCAATGATTGAAGTCGACACTTGTGTGTTCGAAAGGTTGGCAGGCTAAAAGTATTCAGGTCCAATTGACGCTCCGTAAAAAAAATTGAGATCCTCTTATTTTCTATAAAAAAGTATACATTGTGTACTCGTGGGGAGGATATCATAGCTTCTTTTTCAAAACTTGTTAGACCAGTATACTTAACGCAATTAAAAGCTTGCAGTCCTAATGTCTTGTTCTTTTTTTATTTTACCAAGCGTAACACAATAATTGACCAAGGCTGCTGTTCCAGAAAAAAAAAGTTTTTTGTTTTGCTTTCTTTTTCTTTTTCTTTTTTTACGAAATGTATATCCAAGTCAACGTAAGTAACATAATCTAATTGGAGGTATCATTACGATAAAGGGTGGATTGTCGATATTCCAAAAGATGGACAGCGATATCATTAGTAATAATAGGAAGGTAATTAATTTTTTCTTTTCTTTTTTTTAAAATAAACATGACTGACCCTCCTGAAAAGTTGCTTGTTAACTAGGCATTTGGATTAGGATTATGAGTATATTAAATACCATTATTTTGGGTGAGGCATTACAATGGACTCACATCGTGTTTATAAAGCATTGCTTTTATTTACAAACAGATCAGCGCCGCTATATTTACTTGCATGAATGACGATTGGGATAAGGATAAAAACTTAACATCCCTATTGGTACTTATACACCAATGACATTTATCTTTCCTATTGAATTATATATTGGATGTATCATCAAAAAGTTCACGGTTTTTCTCTTATAAAAAATAATACAAATTTATTATCACATCCACCATACAAATGATGAAACCGATATCTCACATCCACTGTCTATTTTACAGGAACTTGACCTTTCATCACCAAATTTTAATAGGACGTGGATCACAGCTATATGCATTAAGAATCCGGAGATCAGTATTCTACCATGACTTTTGCTCACGACTTTGAGCTGGTAGTATCGTCTTTTTTCTTTTCTTTTTTAATAAATCAATGCTTTTTGGAACTCAGAATAGCCCACACAGACACACTGTAATAAGCGTGCAAAAACATCAGTTTTAAAGCTATCTCGGTGAAAGTAGTACCATTAGAATGGAATTATATATATATATATGGCGTATGTTAAGTATGGGAAAAGAACCTCATTTGACAACTTATCATATCCACTCATAGGCATAAATAAAATCAAAATATATAACCCCACCCCCATAAAAACATGTAAAACTATCAATGCCGGAGCAGTCTTTACCAAAATAGCACCATTAGAAGGGGAAGACGTCTAGGTATTGATAAAAATCAAAAAAATTTAAAATTATGGCCAGATAAACAAACTTTTTTTTTTTTTTTTTTTTTTTTTTTGCTTGACCACACCCCCAATATGGCTTCTTTTTTTCCTGGCTAAATTTTCCTTTTTTGTTTTTTCTTTGCTTAATGATTTCTAGCTCATCCTCAAACATTACTTTACGCAAGTTTATAATCCACAACACATGGCCTCGAAGACTACAAGTTCAACAAACGAAACGTTATTGACCTTTGCATTGAATTTAAGGAAGCATGTACATTACACCCTAAAACGTAAAAAAACTGGAACAGCCATTTTAACAGCATTATAAAAAATTTTAGAAGGTCAAGATGCCTTTTGTCTCTAAATGCAGCTACAGTTTTAAAACTGGCACAATAACAATCAGTGTTTCTTATTCACGTCGCAACTAGAATAATGTTTTTTTCTCAAAACTTTCTAAATACCCAGCCTTTGACAAGCAGTGAAGTTCTAGAGATAATTTTGCAGCATTTTATAAGCGATAATCTCTATGATTCTAGATTTTTATTGATTCGGTATAAAATAAAGAGGATAATTATGCGAGATTGATATCTGATGTAGAGGCAAATCCCTTTCGTATCAGTAAGAAAAAGGAATGGCATGACTACAGCTTGAGAACATATTCAATTGCTGAGGAGTACAATACTTAATAGCCTATATGATGCGATCAGACATACTCGTGGAAAGCTTGTCTTGGGATACGGACGAAGATCAACAAAAGCAACGCTTACCTTCCAGCGTGTTAACCGATAGACCCATCATCAATCCTTCAAGGGGAAGAGTCAGTGTCGCTGCAGGTATGGTCGTCACTCCCGATGAATTAGAAAGCACTATCGGTTCAGGAAAATACAAGACCTTCTCACCCTCTGACATAATCCCATAATCGGTACCCTCAGTCCTTAATTTTTTGACATCGGCTTTTCGTTCACAATAGACTCGCTAATGATTTTTAGACTATTTTCGTGGTCGTATTTGGGGGTGGAAAAATCATGATTAGGTTGTTGTTATGTTGGGGATACAAAACGCATGTATTTTGGTGCAGCACAACAACAACAAAAAATGGAGAAAAAAAAATTTTAACCACTCTAAAAAAAAACACACGAAATTATTCCAACTATCACTCGAGGTCTCAGTAATCTTGCTGAGCTTTTAAGGCTAATTATACGCACACCATACTTTTTGATTGGTGAAGAGAATAAATGTGGTTTTGAGTGTGAGCTCATGCTCTTAGTCTGAATTTTATTTTGTGTTTGGGTTTTGATTATTATGAGATAAAGTAAATAAGTTTGGGAAAATGTTGAGGATAAAGGAAGTAAATTATAAAAAGTATCCTTTCTAGTTGTTTTGACACGTCGTTGACACAAATGTCTCGGTGCGCGTCGAATATTTTTTGGGGGAAATGTTTACTGTTGGCCATTTTTTGACTTTGGAAGGCTTCTTCGTTTTGTTGTCAAGTTGAGGCAAAATCATATAAAAATGGCTGTTGGGAAACAAACGTTGTACGGGATTATTCATTGTTTCCATATCCAGACCAAGAAGTGGTACAAAAGTAATTAAATCTTTAGCATACATGACGTTTCCATCATTGTCTCTCCATGCGATATCATACTTATCGACTTTTGGTGTGGTTACATGTAAAATGCCTGGCCTTTTAAACGTAACAGCAACAATTTGGGGGCATCCGTAACAGTCAAACCAAAGATAAGTCATCAAGACAGGGGGCCTTTGTTGATTGCAACTTTTTTGAGGTATGCGCTTCGTTTAGCCCATATGTGTTGTAAAGAGTGTTAGCATATTTTGGCTTGATCTGCTTGATCACGGCCGTTGATGGTTTGCGAAGACTTAGGGGAGTTTTAGTTTTTTTTTTTTTTTTTTTTTTTTTTGCTCATTAGATATTCTTTCATCGTCGTGCTCCACACCAAGTTTGTTTCTTTTTTTGTCTTTTGGGCGACCCTTTTGAATTTCCACTATTTCAGGAGCAAAGGCAGTATCCAAACGGCCAGTCGAGTACTTATAAATCAACGCATCCATGTCTTTTATAAGATAGACTGACTCCTGTTGACTTTCCAAGACTTTACACAAAGACAGCAATTTTTCACGTCTTAATTAAACATGATTTGTGTTTCTACCTAATTCAGGGGGAGAGTCTTTTCCCAACTCGGCAACTATAAAAACCATTAGTTTCAATTATGGGCAAGAACATGATGGTGTGTCAATGAATTTTGCATAATTTTAGATTTTACCATTCCCTTTAACGTAAGATATTCTCCATCTTTGGTGAACGATGGACAATGGCACTTTGTTATTAACAAAAGAGACGGCAAGTATATGTCTGCATGGCAATCTGAAATTTTTTCTCATATTACACAGACAGTTCTCACCCGACCAAACATGACTTACATGGTCAGGGTTTTCTTCTGAAGTCTCCATTTCAATTAACTCGTTTTTTATGCTTTCAAAAGCAAAGCTGTAAACGTTTAAACGAATCAAAGAAAATTGGTCAGCGATATCATGCTCTAAGAAAACTGGTCGTTGAGAAACGGATTCTTTGATCAATAGCAAATTACAATAGTCCTCCTAAAGATGAATTATTTAGAACTAAAAACAAAGAAGAGATCGTGTTTTAACTACTACGTACTCTTTTTTTTTAACCAAAGATCAATTTTTTCCGTGACAACAGCCATGCTTCCGGATGAAGTGTTGTTACTTCTTTTAATGTGGGCATGGGTAGACTCAATTCTATTGGATGTTCTATTTGTCGTATTTGGGTACGATTCACTTAAGAATAATTAAGCAAATCGTTTAAATAAATAAACTATGAAATTAAAACAACCTTTGATGTTGCATATCAGCATACGCTTGTATACTGCTATACAACTTCTCCTACTTCGAGTACATACTTCTATATTAAAGATTGCATGATTGGCCTAAATACGATATACGAATGACAGCTGGATACAGAATGTTATACCACTGAGTTACGATATCACCGATTGAGAAGAGAATCTTCTCAGATCAAATCAAGAATTATAAGAAAAAGAAACCTAATATTAATAGTTCTCTCAATGGATTAGCTACCCATAGAGAGAATAGAACAGCTATTAATATAAATGGTTCATTTACTTAAATATTGTTATAATTCTACTGCTGATAAAGAGTATAAAGAAATAGTGTAGGAATTAATGGATACCTATCTTCTAAAACCAAATATACAAATACTGTTCTATCAAACAAGATAGACAGTTTATAAGATAAAGAAAAAGGTAATTGTGAGACTGGGTAAATTGAATATCGTTTTATTATTGAATTAGAGGATGGTTTATATAGGAATTGACAAAGTCCTTTCGGTACTTGTCAATTAATAGAGCAGGCTGAGAGAATGATTTATAATGTGAACATATTGCAGTAAGCATGTGTGGACCATGCGTGCATTGTAAGCTGTGATATTATTTATAAGTTGTTTTTATCATTTGTTAATGCAGATGTTGCGTGTAAACCGCGTGTACGTGAGGTGACACAAAATAACTATTTCGAGTTTCTTCGCTAAAGTAACTCACAGAATAGTGCTTGTATACACTACGAGATATTTGTGTATACAACAAATACCGATAAGGCATTTTATATTTGGGATAGTATTTTAAGTGTGTCGTAATACTAAAGATTTATTAGAATACTCATGCTCCCGATCCACTGATATGGGACAACGTTAACTGGAAACAGTTCGAACGAGTACTATTCATTTAACCTATAGCGGGAAACAAAGTAGACATCTATTCCAAAACCAGAAAGGTTAACTCATCATTAAAACTCAGGAGAGTTGTGCAATATGAAAAGGATCAATTATTTCATAGCAGCAGAGTTCTTTTAGTCTATTTTTACCTTTAATAAAGATATACTTTTATCTCATTACTTTCCAGTTGTATCAATTTTGTCAAATACCACATACAAAATGTGATAATAATGTAATGGATAATATTAATAAGTGTCGGGATAATGCAATAGTGATGTATGGTGATAATAATATGTAATTTTATGGTGATAGATATAAGAGTTAATAATAATGTAAGTAATCAGATTGTCGAATTACTGAAGTAGTGTTGTGATATCTATATTTTAGGGTGTTACTTCTTTGATCGTTTTCTATTGGCCTCATTGGCATTGGGTACAATTCTTCTCTTTTGAGCTTTAGATTTCTGAAACCGTAATTCTATCTCAAGTAGCATATGTATGTCCGGTCGATGTTCGGTTCGGATAAAGTAACAGTCCGGTATGTCACGTGACTTTGAACATTATTAAGTATATATAACGTTAATATACTTCCAAAATTGTCAGGTTCTTTATCCTTGTTTAAGTGTCGCTCCCGAATTAGGTTAATGTGCTAATGCGTACAGTCAGGAATATAAATAACTTTAAACAGGAAGAAAGTTGTTTTATTAGATTACGCGTCTAATTACAATATACTACTACTAAACTAGTGACGTAACAGCCACGTGATCTATTTTGACTAATTACTCTAAGACCAAATAACGTCTTGACAACACCCCCCTTTCAAATAGTTGTACGTCTCGTGCAACTGAACTTCACAGAAAAAAAATTACTCTCTTGACTTTCCTCGCTTTCTTGGACCCGCAATTGGGCGAAACACTCTTCGTTTTTGACGATTGAACGACACCGCTTTCAGTAGATCTTGCAATTCTTGTTCACCTTCTGTGCTTGCTGTTGCGATCCTACTTCCCTCGACATGCTTGCGAAATGTGAATGGCCAAGATGGTACCACACCCGGTACTGGTGGCAGCATTGGGACCGTCGTCGTCATTACCTTGTCTTGCCCCACTGTCAATGACGCTTCCATGGGCGTTATTGACACCGCAGTCGTTGATTTTGCTTTTGCAGTACCCGATGTCAGAGGTGGTGGTAGTATTAAGGCCTTCGATTCTTGCCTTGCCGATGAAACTGGCTTCGCTGGTTGTATTGAGCTTCGCTTTATTTACCTTGATTAGACTTTCAAACTTCGCCTTGTCTTGAATAAACTTTTGTTTAGCCAGTTCTTCTTCTTTTTTCCGCTGTTCCTTTTCTTTTAGCAATTGCTTTTCTTCTTTTATTTGCTGCTCCTTCTCCTTCAGTAATTGTTCTTTTTCTTGCATTCTCAACTCCCAGTCTCTTCGTTCTTGAATTTCCTCCTTTTCTTTTAACTGTTTTTCCCTAAGTAGCTGAGCCTCTTTTTCTTGCTGAAGACGTTCTTTCTCCTTCTCTACCTGGATTTGCTTTGCTTCTTCTTCTTGCTCACTACGCCGCTTCTTCTCCTCCGCCTCCACTTTGAGCTGTCTTTTCTTATCTTCCTCCTCATCGACCGCCTCCATAATTTCAGTGTCCTCGATATCATCCCCAGAGGATATGTCTTTATAGCCATCCATCATGTTATCGAACTTGACCGATTCGCTTGAGCTATACATACTACTTTGGGACCCAGATTTCATCAGCTCATCGGATGCATCCTCTCCCATCTCCTCATCTACTGTTGGCTGTGATATAGTTGGTGATTGAGCTTCCTTATCGGATTCCATGGTAATATCCTCCTCAGATGTCCTCAGATTTGCTGACGCTGCATCTTCACCGACGGGCTGTTCAACGATACTTGTACCAGCACCAGAATCATTCTTACCAGCCTGCGATACAATGTATCCTCCCCCTCCTCGACCGCTTCTAGTTGATGTGGCTTGTTTGACAATTGCTCGGCTTGCTGTTGGGTTGTACCACGATTCTTGAGGCTTCTCACCCTTGGCATGCTTCAGACGATCCTTGTGAATTCTACCCTTTACCTTCTCCCCTTCGACCGTTTCAAGACTATAAGTGCCAAAATCATCATATTCTTGCGTGATAATA